GACACCCTGCATAACTATCTTCTGATGCGTGTCAAATACTCGTCAGCGACATTGGCAGTAAGTAAGTAGCTAAACTATTTTACGTTAGGGATCTCACTATAACAGATAGCACTTTTTAGAATATTTTGAAACATCTTGTATATATTATGTTCAATATTATTGGACATAGGGTTTTAATTAAAGTAGAAAAAATTCTGCTTAATAATAAAATATTCGTTTTTAATCGTCAGCTGTCAATGTTCCATTCAGGCCAATAATAGAATTAGCTTTACATTTCCATCGACGCTTATCCTAAAATATTGAAGAGATTTCAGCGGCGAGTACGTTTCGTCCCCTTTTGATCCGCCCGCTTCATCCAAAAGTACAACAAAAGACTTTTATTAGGTTCGCATTGAAACGGTCCGCGTCAGCCATTGACGTGGATTTGATGAAGTTGCTGCCAGGTGGTTGCGATGAAAAATGAATGGCATCGATTTTGTCTGGCACCGATTCAATGCCGATGCCACTTCTGTCGGTTTTAAATATTTCCCATTTCTTTTTTTGAATATATCATGAAGGGTGTCAAATTTTTACAGCTTATATCGATAATTTAAAACTTCTATTTTAGTATACTCTATTTAATGATTCAGGAAAGATTTTGACAGAAGATGACAGAAAACAAAGCAGACACATCCATACGAATCCATTTATTTCACAAAAAAGTTTAAAGTTAACTTAAAAAATATTAGAAAGGATGGGTTTATACAGGGTCTGGCGATAGTGAGTACTGTAGCTCCAAGAATAAAACACTTGAATATTTTATTTAAGTGCAAACCTAAAGTCTGTACGAAGATACATCTCAGGAAAATATTTTAACTTCTATAGGGTGGCTCAAAAAAGTATGAGTGGATCGGGATTATTTTTTTTTAAATGGAAAACCCTGTATATTATTTTTTTATTAGATAATAATCTATACTAATATATAAAATCCTTAAGTGACTGACATACTGATTAATCAGGATCCTGCTCAAACCACTCAACGTAAGAAGGTCAATCTTGGCATACAGGTTGATTCTAGGGTGTAGAGGTTCGATAAAAAGGGATTTTTCGAAATTCCAGTTCCAAGAGGGTGAAACCACCCCTCAAATATTACAATATTTTTTATTTAAAAAACGGCCGAGTTTCCGAAAAAAACGCTTAAACACGTATATTTTATTTTGTTTTTTTACATATTTTAAGATTTTTTAAAAATGTATACAGGGTGTTTCGAAAAATCTGGTCATTGATTAATCACGATCCTGCTTAAAGCGCTTGACATAATTGACGTAAAAAACTGATTTTTGGAAAACAGATTGACTTTAGGGTGTAGATGTTCGATAAGAACGGATTTTTCGAAACTCAAATTCTAAGGGGGTGAAACTATCAATCAAATATTAAAATATTTTTTATATAAAAGCCGGTGAGTTTTTCGGAAAAACTCTTAAACACGAATATTTTATTTTGTTGTTTTACATATTTTAAATTTTTTTATAAATCTATACAAGGTGTTTCATAAAATATGACCATTGAGTAATCACGATTCTGCTTAAACTGCTTGACGTTTAAAGCAAAAACGCAAGGCAAAAGGATTGACTGTGGGGTGTAGAAGGAGGGGTTTCTCGAATCTCAAATTCCAAGAGGGTGAAAACGCCCCTCAAATATTACAATATTTGTTATTTATAAAACGGTTAGTCTTTCGGGAAAACGCTTGGACAAACATAATTTATTTGTTTTTTTTTACATATTTTGAAATTTTTTAAAAAATCATACAGGGTGTTCAAAAAAGTTGGGCAATTTCTTAACCACGATTCTGCTTAAACTGCTTGACGTAAAAAGCATATTTTTGGCAAACGGATTTTTCGAAAGTCAAATTCTTTCTACCCCTCAAATATTATCAAGTTATATAATAATAGCGCCATATTGTTTTTTCTCATGCTGACATAAATGTGAGAACATTTTATCCAGTTTGTATGTTAATGGAAATTCTTGCTTTACTTTATCATCACCATTACAAATGAGTAATTCGACGCGAACATACACGCTAGTTATCTAATAAAGGTAGAATAATTATTATTCTAGTTACTATTCTACTTACTATTCTACTCATAAGAAAATGAATACTTTTTGTATTTAAAGTGTTTTAAAAATTTTAATGGTTTCGCAGATACACGTATCATTATTTCATATGGCTCTTTCAACGGTAAAATAAAAGAGAAAAATCATTGGCTGGCTTTGTTAAAAATTTACTTACTGTGAAAAATGCCATATAAAATACAAAAAATGTTCATTTTTTAATTCTTCACCTACTGAAAAAATAATATACAAGGTGTTCCATTAAAAACTAACGAAAAGAACGAAAAAACTATGTAAGAAATTATTTTATATTCTAAAAAGTTTATTTTCACGTTTACTTTAAAGTTTACTACTATAGCCTAGAATTTTGAACATCCTCTATGATTTACGATTACTATACAGGGTGTTCCAGAAATAAGTCCAAGTATTTTAACTGGTAGTATAGTTCAACCCCAAAAACACGCCTATGAGGTTTTTTTTCACGAAAAAAAAATTTTGAAAATTCGCAACTTTTTAAAAAAAAAATTGAAACTTTTTTAGTTTTTAGTTTAAAAACATATTTTCTTGATAGTATGACAACATAGGTATTAGATTAAATTTACAAAAAAGAAAATTCAGAAAAGATCCAGTGGTTCTCAAAATTTTAGGAATTTTTTTTTTTGTAAATTTTTAAAGTAAAATCCGTTACTCCGTTATTTTGGACTTACTTGAAAAACGATAAAGAGAAAATATGTTTCTTTTATCGAGATCTACCACCCCTTAAAATACTTGCACTTATTTCTGGGACACCCTGTATTTATAGCAAAGTAAGTACAGATCATCTAAAGTAAATACCTAATACAGTTTTGATTTTAGGGCAGTTCTTGTATTTTTATTAGTTTTTTTAAAAGGCTCAAAAATATATATTTTTTATTTGTTTATTATCTCTGAAACTATCGAAATATATTTACTCATATCTTAGGATTATGTAAAATAGTCCGAAAGGAAGCCAAAAATGCAATAATATACAGGATGTTCCATTTAAAAAAAATCATCCCGATCCACTCACACTTTTTTGAACCACCCTATATAATCCTAAAATATTTTTCTAAATATTTTCAGTTATATACAGTTTTTTTCATAATATTTTGATACTCATTTGTCACTAAAATTTTAAAATTATAATAATTTACCGTTTTGTATTCCAATTGTACCAACTTAATTTCTTTGGAAAATAACAACCTAACCTAACCAACTACTTTGAAATTAAAATGACAGACACATCTATCACTGTGAAGGATTCTGTCGTTGGACATACTATATCAATAATTTAAAATATACTTAAAAATAAAATAGATCCAGTGTCATAATGAAACACCCTCTATTTGATATTTACTTTTCACGGCATCATCACAGCGTTTCAAATAAATTAAAATTATTTCTTTTATTCCTTTACGACTAGCAAAGATTAAAACGAAAAACGATGTCGCAATAATATCTATCATCGCATGTACAAAATCGCTTCCAGACAAAATCGATATTATATGTGCATCTTTAGCGAAACCACAAGAAAGCAACTCTTACGATTCTTTTGAAAAGCAGATGCAGAAGTATTTGCATGGAAGCTTTCAGATACGAATCTAATAAAAATGTTACGGTTTTATTGCAGAGATTTCTAGCTCTCAAGCGGCGTTTGATAAAATGGAAATATTTGCATTATATTGTCTCTTATGTCAATAAAACGTTTCAGTAATAATATTATGATGTAGAGATTGGACGTATTTATAATTGAGCCGTTTATGAAAGTTTATATTTCGGATTTGTAGTAAAGTGAGTATTATGTATCATTCTGTTCGATAACGTATTTTATGTATTAAATTATTTACTCTGGTTAGTCGTATATTATGAATCCAATTAAAAACATAAAATGTAAAAAATGCAAATTCTCACAAGGCAGTTCTTGTACTGCAAAAAGTTGTGAGATCACATCTAAATCCAAGTCAATTATTTTAGTTATAGTGTCTAAGGACGCATCTATACAACAACATGGTTATATATTTCTATCTAATCATTTATGTATCAGCTTTTAAAGTGATATCAATATTATACAGATCTATTTCTATAATAATAATAACTTGGCAATTGCACGTACTCTACGTGCAATTGCCGTTAACGTTAAATTATTGTTGCCGTTTAATTGTTGTAACGTATTCTACTAATTAAAATGCGTTATTCTTAAGTACACTTTTTAGATTTACTTAGTAATACGCTGTATAGAACGTATGCAATACATGTGTGTTATATTTTTTTTTACAAATAAATTTTTCTATATAAATAAATCAAGGGACCAAATTCGGTTTCCTAGGGTTTGTTGAAACATAACAACATTAAAATACAATTTTTCTAAAAATATCAATTTTTCAGCTCTATCTAACATTAAATTTTACTATTATACAGGGTGAGTCTACGGTGATTAGTGCAAATATTTTCAGTGCTGGTAGATCTCGATAAAAGAAACGTATAGTCTCTTTGACGTTTTTTTTTCAAAATAACCAATTATATAAGTCCAAAATAACCGAATTATTCAAGTGTGTAAATTAAAAAAAATTGATTTATTTTTAAAAAATGTTGAAAGCGACTGGATTTTTTTCTATATTTACATCCCTTTTAGTGCGGTAACCATAGAGTAAAGCCGTAACCATGGCAATATCAGAGGTTAAGACATTATACCGGGGAAAATTTGCGGTGAACAGGCAGTTCTAAAACGTTTTTTAAAATATACAGGAAAATATAAATAAAATGCACGATAATAATTTTTTTTGTGAAAAAGCCTCATAAATGTGTTCCTAGGATCGAAATATACCATCCTAAAATATTTGTACTTACTTAAAACTCAACCCTGTATATAGCATGGAACAAAACAGACTTACCTCAAACTTAAGAGCCTGTCTCGACTCGTAATTTTTCCTCGCTAGAGCTACCCTGACCCATTCTGGTTTGTCGGATATGCCGATGTGTAGAAAATATCTAACACCCAATAAAAATTGAGCCAGGCATATGAACAACAGGAGGATCCGAACTTCTGACCAATCGGGAAGCAGCATTCTTACATCGGGACTTAAGTACAACACGCCACAGTTCGTCATGATGGATAGACCTCCAAGGACTTCGAAGGATCTCTGTAATTAAAAAATAATGATTATATAACCTGTTTCAGAGATCTTATGCATATACAGGGTGATCAAATATTCAAAAGCGCTATACCAGGTCTCTTACTTGACATACTCCAAACTTTTTTTTACAAAATATACCCACATTTTGTTTTTCGTAGATCTGAAAAGATTCAAATATTATAATTTTATTTTTATTTAAACTAAATCTGTACTTTTTTAAATAGAAGGAGTATAATATACCGTTCAATAGATTTTCCATTTCAGGTATACCAAAATTTCATAATCTATAATTCGAAGGAAGCTGTAGGTCGCACAATGCTCAATGGAACGAAATATGCTGGGAATACCCAGGAGAGACCGTAAAAGAATAGAGTAGATACGATAAACGACCCAGGTAATAGATTCCCCACAGAATTAAATCCGTCAAGTGGCAATAGACAGGACACCTGACAAAAAGGATGGACAACAGATGGACAACAAAAATTACAGCATTATACCCACGAGCAATAAAGACACCTAGAGGAAGATCAAACCTGAAATGGGATCATGATATTAAGAAATTAGTAGGGATAACTTGAGCCCGCATAGCCAACAATAGACCACAAAATGGGCCCAACTACCAAGAGAGTATCTAAATATGTGAGGGAGGCTGCACCATAATTGGAAATTGTTGTTCCAGGAAAACGTCTCATAAGGATTTTTGCAAAAAAAAATTCGTGGATTTTTTTAAATTTTCAGTTAAAAAACATAGTATCTTCATAATATGGCAAAACACAGGTAGGAAGATTAAATTTAAACCAAACGAAAACCCAGTGGCTCTGAAAATCCAAAAAAAAACATTTTTTTTTAATTTTCAAGGTAGAAATAACTCAGCTATTTTAGACCTAGAAAAAATGGTTAAGAGAAAATGTGTTTCTTTTATCGAGATCTTTCAAAACATGAAAATATTTTAACTCACGATTCACCTTGTATATACTCTGTTTTTTTTTTCTCATGTAAGATTTCGACAGACGATGACAGAAGAAAAGCAGATGACGTCCCATACCAATTTATTTATTTTACTAAAAAAAAGTTTCTAATATTTTTTAAGTTAACTATGGATGGGTTTAATTATAACCAGTTTTATTGGTTTATTTCAAAAATGACAGATCGTATTTCAATTTTATTGGTTTGACGAAACGATGATCGACAAACGGACGCCGACACGTATGAACTCGACTTTAGATTTTTGAGACTTGTTAAAGTCTTGCTAAATTATAGGTTATAATTTTGTGTCAACTTATGTCAAATATTTGCGTTTTGGAAGATGATGCATTTTGATTCGTGTTATTACGTGTGTTTTGTGTCTTTTGAAGTCAAGTGGAGAAAAAATCGATGAAAAATTAACTGTAGATCCAGAGCACAGTTTATAGTTAATACTCGCTGCCCAGGCAGAAAGTCTTATACACCAATAGTTACCATTAATAAAGTTTTTATACCGTCTCGTCGTAGATAAGTAATTAATCAACCTCTAGGTAAGGTATAAAATTTGGTAAGTGTTATTATAAATAAAATAGTTTGTTTTATTTAGTCCTGTGGAATATTACAAATTTGTATTTGTAGAAAAGTTACATTGAAAAATATAATAATAAATGCGGAAAGTTTCTTGAAGCTTGAAAGTAAGAAATAGTTTTTTTTTTATTTTTTTTGGTATGTGGTGTGATGTTCTTGTTTGTTTTGTATTAACACATATACTGTTTTTAATAATATAACTAGATTACATTTTTTCAGTTTTACACAGTGTTTTTCACAATATTTTGAAGTAATCACACGGTAATCAATTATCAGTCAAATTTTAAATTATTAATTTCCTGCTATGCGTTCCAGTTGTACCAACTTATTTCTTTGTAAAATAAAATAAACTACTTTGAAATTAAAATAACAGACACATCTATCACTTGGATCAAGGATCTTGTCGTTGGACAGACTATAGTACTGTCACAAAAAGAGCAAAATTGAGGTTAGCTAAAATTTTCTGTTATATTTTTTACTACAAAAGAGGATTTTAAAAAATGCAAAAATTAGAAAGGATAAATTTAAAACATCATCAGATATAAAAACCTCAACAACCGTTCGGTTAAATTAAACTGCCCAACCGTGCACCCCAACAAGCGCAAAACAACTCTCTTTCCACTAAAATTACCTGCCAACCTTCTCCGATATCTTTAACTTTTCCAGCTGACGCCCGACGAAATACTTTGCAAACTTTAGAGGCGGTCGCTCGCTCTAATTTCCGCGATCTTATTAAGGAAACGGCTAGCACATAGAAAATTGTTCAGAGTAAGAGAAAAAAATTCTTTATCTAAAAATGTGTCTGGAAGTATTAAGTATGTTAACGGAATGATGTGGAACAAGGTATTTTTACACAAATGAAGAAGGAAATTAAAGATAAAGGATATATACTATATCCGTATTATAGCACATTTTCAGACAACTTCTTTATTTTAAAGATTTTGATGATCAAACATCAACAAAATTTTCCGTATATTTGGACTAAATTTTCTCGAAAATAAAGCCATAATTTCAAATTCCGTTACAATACGGAAATAGATTAAGGTTTTGTGATTACAGTGATATATAATCTATATGGTTTTGTAACAATTTGCTTATGGCAAATGCTGAAGCTCTGCGAACCTTAATCAAGTCTTAATGAAAGCACGTGCGTTTGGAATTTTGGGTGTGGCTTAACACGACAGGATCGGGCTAAGCCTTAGGCAAATTTCTGAAATATAATATATATTTCCTTCGGTCACACACCAGCTTTACCTGATTCTTGAGGGCGACCCGAAAGTACAGCGTAATACACTCTTAATATAATATACTAAGAGAGTATTTTATTTTATTTAGCCAGATAATTTTGTGTGTTATATTCTTTCCATCGTGTTATATTAACAAGACACACTGAAAATAGACTTGTGCAGCTTTAAAATACTAAGCTGTCAATCGCATTTATTGATATTTTGATGCACTATGCAGTAATTTCATATACAGAAACTAGCGTGGAATAGTCAATAACCAAAATTTGACGTCGGATAAATTATTCGATTGTTTTGATTACCTACTGTATACCGGCCGCCTATGTTAAAACGTTAAAGAATGCATTTTCTTATCTTGATCATATAAATAAGTATAGAATATATTATAATTTTAGACAGGTCATGAAAAATAAATATAATAAGGAATAGTATACACGATATCCCATATTAAAAAAATACGTGTGCACTACGTGCATATATTTGAAGTGAAACTTCTTCTTATTTCCGTCTGTCCGTCTGAAAACTCTATACGGGTACCTCTATCCACGTGCCGAGTTTGGTTCTAATCGATCCATAATTAAGAAAAATCCTGATGACTTTGTTTATTTAGAGGCATCGGTTCGAAACGTCGAGGGCGTCATCCTGTAGCTCGTACCCAATTATGCCGAAATCGACCCACATTTTTCTTCAATATTAAATCCTTAGTCCCATCCTGATATAGCTGTAAACGAAACGTCGTATCCAACTTTGCAGGGTGGGACCCTGTGCACCATCGCTCACGCCTACCCACCAAATTTGATAGCGATCGGACGACATCAACTTTTGACGTTTCTTACGTCAAAACTAACTGTCACAGTGACACGTGTCGCACACGGTAAATTGGCCTTGGTCCAATCTATCGACAGACCAAATTTCATTTAAATCGGACGATTTTTTTATTTGATCTATTGATGATGGGTTTTCGTAGTGCACGAAACGTCGTCAAAATATCATGAAAAAATGAGGCTCCAAGAAATGCGGCTACGTTCCGAGTTTGAGTCCCTTAGCCCGCATAGGACCCAAGTTACGACGCTCCAAGATTAAAAAGTCAACGTTACCACTTTTCCTCTCGCGTCTCGTGTGTCACGGCCTTCAATTTTTACTCCCATCGCGCGTAAAGGAGTTTCATTTAAAAAAACAAATAACTCTAGGTCATAATTCAAGAATCACAAGTCACAGCGAAATTTAATTTTATATAAATAGTTAGCCACGGAATTCTACGTAATAAACTCTACAGGACTCGGAAGATAAGCCAGATATGAGGGTGTCAAAAAATCCAACAATTTCAAATTCGCCTTTTTAGGAACAAAGAGGTTTAGGACAAATCTGTATGTAACATCTTTAGTTTCATAAAAAAGGTAACATAAATACTCGAATTTCTTCAATCTATTCCGAGGGGTGCCTCTTGAGGGCACTTGGGTAAAACATGTACATATACTGCCAAGATATCATTTTACTGGCCAGCGACTGCCAATGACTGCGAAGAAGACTATCTATGTCTGCCTTTGAATAAGAAGACTAAGGAAGGAGAATATCAAAAATCTTAGGTCCACCGCGATGGGACGCAAATATGGCCGACTTAAATTCCGGTTTATCAGTGCCGTTCTAATTTAATTTAAAAAATCTAAAACTATGATGTAGGGTAGATTCAATAATTTATTATTTTATTTTACGTTGTAAATAAATGTTGGTAGTTATTACAATTGTTATAAAAACATATTATTATAATAAAAATAGATAATTTTTAATAATTATTTATTAAGACAAACATCCGATACGCTACTGAAGTAGGTAAGACAAATTGACGTATCTAAATTCTTTGACATCTAATCTTTGACAAGTAGTAAATAAAAGCAAAAATGCAAGAAAAAATATATTATTAGTTAATTTAAGTGAATTTCATAAATGATCGGTTTACTACACGTATGTATATTATATAGTCACTTACAGCGAAAAGTTGTTCCATTATTTCACTCGATTTTTGCCGAGATCTACCGCACGCTACACAACCAACTATTTTAGTCTTTTTCGATAAATCGCGATAGTGTCAGTGTTAATTTAAGTTCTTCCACAATTTCCATCTAGATTTACTACATTTATACAACTATCAGTAGTAGAATAAATAATAAATAACATAAAATAAGCTCCGTAAAGACTAACAAATCCACAAAATTTCAAATCAAATTCAAATGTGTCAAATGAATCGTCAAACAGAACTGTCAAGGATCCCCACCCTAGAGTCCTTTTTCCGCCCACCATGCATGAATACATGAATAGCATTATGCTCCTTCCTTAGTCTTCTTATTCAAAGATGTCTGCCATGCAATTATAGTCAACTGATGCCAGCGACTGCCAAGAAAAAAAGACACCCCTTGTTTGATTCTATTTCAATCACTCAGATCGAGAATAACTTAACAAGCCTTAAAAGAACAACTTTTTTATATAATTAATTTTTAAATATTTTTACTACTCTGAGCATAGACTCTCCACTATTACCAGTTAAAACTGTAAGCGAGTATAAGAAAAGTACGGCTAAAATGTCCGTAGCAGTTTAAAGTAGAAGGTAAACGTTTGGTTAATTCGCGAGGTAGGAGTCATTAATTTGGATCGTGTGAAGAAACTAAACTCAGGTTTGTGCGGTTGTAATTAACACCTGTAGATCAAATAAAATTATGCTAGTTTTATTTGATTGTTGAGCTTGCTGATTGATTGCTCGTCTTGCTAACTGTGTAAATAAAATTAGAAAAGTTGCGTTACGTGGATACCCCAAAGAAATTTACATCAAATTCAAATTTTATCTGACCAGTAAATTCAAAACTTTCATCGACAGGTTAAAAAATACTCCATTATTTAAAAACATTTTGTGTTGAATAATTTATGGCCATATGAGGATCGAGATAAAGATGTCTCGAACAACCGAATGTGTTTAACCAGCAAAATGAATAGAGTGAAACATGCGCCGTTTTCCATTAATTTTTCATTAATCATGAATCAGTCAAACTGCGACAATGAGACTGACAGGTGTACACCCGCCTTAAGAAAATAGTTTAAAAGTATTTTTTTTTTAATTTAAACTGCCTATAATTATATAACAGCAAAAATTAGGCCCATTAAATTCGGAATAAACCTTATGACGCCGTGCAATTTTAATGAAAAAGTATACCAAGTTGTAACTTTATTATCAAAAAACGTCAAAACAAGTCCTAATTGTTAATGCGTGCAGTGTTTTGTTTCATAGCAAACGTATAAATTATCATTTAACTTTGTTAAATTTGTAATTATAGTCGATAATCGTCCGGCAAAATATCCTGTATCGTATATTTATGCTTGTTTTAAAAATGAACGTATTTAGAATTTCGAACAGTGAAAAACGTTCTAAAAGAGACAATTTTCAAATAATAAATTTTTTGATGGTTTTATCACAGCTTTTATAAATTGAAATATAGAAAACAAAAATTAATAGATTTAATTTATAAGAACAGAAAAGTAAACCTAATAGAGTTTTTTTTTGACAGGTAATTCTAAATAAAGATTAATATTAAAATTTCTTTAATTTGTAGTAAAATTGTACATATTAACAAAATTAAAAATTTGAAAATATTTTTTGTATCACTAGAAATTTAAATTAGAAAGATTATTTAACGGAAACAGTGAGAACAAACAGACCTATATTTATCATAATAATATTCTAAATTAATAAATTAATCACATTATTGTTAGTACCTGCCAAGCTCCGATGTCCTTAACTCGTCTTGCTGTCGGTCTTCGGTACAATTTGCAAATCTTGTAAGCATCCGCTCTGATTTCAAGGACGTTATTAATCAACGCCCACAGAGCAGCTATCGGATACACCGAAGAGAATAAAAAGACGTAGCCGAATTGTATGTAAAGCTCTAAGTAATCGTCAAAAGTGTCCTGGTATTCTTCCATATTTCCTTCATTTTCAGCCTATAAAGCATTAAAAGAAAAGTTTTATAAATATTACGCAAATATTTTTGATTGTTGACATTACATTTTGTATAATTAGTCTACTATATTCTTATTGAATTTAATATAAAACTTATTGAATTTAATAAAAAAGATTTTTATTTTGTCATAAGCTGGCCATTTATATGGATTCATAATAAACCATTATTTTTTGCCATTAGTACATATATTTTAAAAATAACAAAACATATTAAAATTCAATTTTAAAAATAAACTGAAATATCGATAAATTTGAATTAGAACGCCCATCGTATATAGCTTACGTAAAAATAATAAAATAGTTCTAACAAGAACTGCTTTTTTTAAAACAAAACTACATCTTTTAGCTTTGAGATCTCAGACAATCTTGTTTGAAACAAAATACTTATTATATAGCTTATGCAAGTTCTGCCAACAAAATTTACGAATGCAAATGTAATTTGCTGATACAGTCACAGTCGTCTTGTTAACATTTATTGCATAATTCAAAATTCAAATTAGAATTTGCATTTTTATAAACGATAAGACTGATTTTCTACAGTCTAAATCTAAAATAGTGATATAACAATACATAAACCATATCTATCGATATTTATATAAAGCAATTACAATTAAATAATTAAAATAAACAATTTTTTTCATAATTTGGACGTTTAGGATACATATTTCCTGTATAATTTATTATATCCCCTATAAAAAAACTAAATAGATATTTATTTTGCAAAAATTATTATATTATTAAATCAATTAATAGTTTATTTTATTTAGAAAATATGAATTACTTTTATTTCTCGAGATGATATAATAAAATTTGGATTTGTACAGGGTGTCCCACTAAGAATAGCTCTCGGCTGTTTCTCGGGAAGTATTAGCCGTAGGGCCTGCGGAAAAAAAAATATTTAAAACTAAAGAGGCTATGAGAAATTACTGCAAATTATTTTCAAGTTTGTAAAACGACCGCTAGGGGGCGCAACTGAAACAAAAAATAAGAAAATGGAGTTTTTACACAATTTTGCTTAGATAAGGGGTATTATAAATAATATCTTCATCATCTTCAGTAAATTTTAAATATTTTTTGTGAGAGCCATTTTCCCCTATCTACAAAAATAAAGTGGTGGGGGAAGGTTATATCTATTTTTATTTAAATATTAATAACTCCGGACAGACGTTTAAAAGAGCCTTTCTTACTCTATATTATGCCATATAAACAATAATAATAAGCTTCTGAACGTAGACGCTAGGGGCACTGTCTTACAATTTAATAAACATTACGCGTTTTGGCTGAGATAGCCAATAAAAAAAACGTCGTATATAAATTTCACTGTAAAAATTGCAATGGTGTATACATACAGTATGTCCCCGGATTGTCTTTGCAAAAGGAAAACTTTTTTATCATTGACATTTTGAGAAAAATACATTCTACATAAAAAATTTTGCTTGTATAAAATGGTTAATCTCGTTTATACTTTTCAGAGAAAAAATAATAAAACCATGAAAATATGGTTGATTTTTTGAAGACCTAAAAATTTAAACGCGTTTCTATGGTAATATAATTTCGATTTCATTCTTTGATAACTGGTTATTATTAATTTTGATTAAAGTCATTTTTTCTATTATTAAAGTATCATATTTTCCAATAACTATTATCACCCTCCCAGCAGCATTGAACTAAATAAATTTTGTGCTTCTTTGATATTTTAAAACAGCAAAAAATATGACGTTAAGTAAAATCACAAAACATCCCCCTTTAGAACTTTTTCTTTAATGGCCATTAGCGGGAGTAAAAGACCAACCGCCCAAACAAACACTAGAGGCGCGGTCATCAAATGGTGTAAAAATTGCAAAAATTTAATCATCTAATATTGACACAAGGGATCGCGCTTAACTTTTTCAATTTTAATTCAATATTCATTGTTTTCAAACTATATTATTAGACTTTGTTGTATTTTGTGAATGTATAAATGTTTTCTTAGTATAAAGTTGCATTATAGTAATTTAAATTATATTACATACATATTTAAGATTCAAATATTATGACATATGTCAGTTGCCGTCTAAAATGTCATCTTGATAACAAAAAGTTAGTTATTGTCAAAAGTAGTTAAAATCATGTTAAAATATTAAAATTTACAAGTTATAATTAGATATTTTATATTATTTCAACAACAAAAACATAATAGTACAGCGTAATGTTGATATGCAGGTCCAAAATAAAAAGTGCCGTTATATTTTTCAGTTTTCGTTGTCAGCCGCGGAAGTTTCAGTGATTTTAGTGTTATAGGATATTTTTATTTGTGAAATAGAAATATTGCGTTTGGATTGCAAAACTAAATGTGGAAGTTTTATTTCAATGTAAGTAAGCGTTTGTCCATTTTATATTTTACTTTTTTCATACCTACGACAAATAATAATATACATATATTGAAATTTTATAATTCGTTTTATTTAAAAAATGTTAGAAAACAAGCTTGTAATCCTGTAATTGACATAATTGTTATGTAATATATTCCATGTAAATGTAATATATTACTTTACAATTAAAAAAAATTTAAAAATGTATTAAAAATATATACAGGCATTAATTGATTTTTTTGAGTGCGAACAAACACGAGAGGCGCTTTATTATATTTACCTTCATTTCTTAACATGACAGATTAAGTTCTAAAGGGGGGTGTTTTGTGATTAAAATTATATCAATAACAATCTATCAAAGAATGAAATCGATGCTATATTACCATAGAAACGCAATTTAATTTTTAGGGCTTCAAAAAATCAACCATATTTTCATAAATATAAACGGAATTTACCATTTTAAAACAAGCAAATTTTTTATGAAGAATGCATTTTTCTCAAAACGTCTAAAAAAATTTTTCCTCTTGTATAGACAATCCGGGGACATACTATATATTGGGCAGACTACCCAATATCTAGAAAAAGGTATGCAAGGCCATAAATACATAAAAAATGCAACAGCACTCACTCAAACTGAAGTGTCATTTGGGCATACTTTTAATTTAGTAAGGGTGAAATTTATTAAATCTGAATCCAATACTAAAAAAGGGAACTGTTTTGGTAAAATGATATGATGATGTTTTGATAAATGATAAGCAAGAAACGAATAACATTAGCAAACGATATCAGACAGTTCTGGAATAGCCATCTGTCGGGCTATTTGAAAATCGTTTAATATTTCTGTGATATACATCTTATTTATACCGTGCTGGCAACGGTTACTTTTGGGCCGGCATTTACATGTGTGGAAGTAAATCGCATAGGGATCTTATTAAGTCGGAGTGAGAGAAATGCGACCGACCGACGCGACGCGCGACGGTGTGCTGTTGCGGCGTTGCCGATATGCCTTTACCTATCAAGTAAAGTAAAATCACGATCGCAAACCGCTTATTTTTAAAAGACTTTTTTTCAAGAGATAACTAAATAAAATCATTAGACATGTTTCTGAGTATCTGAAATGGAATTATAAGGATATCGTTAAGGTGTCATTTTTTTTATAACGAAAAAACCTCAGTAATCGCGATAATTTAAAAACTCAACTTTTTAACACATAACAGGCCATAACTCAAGAACCACTTTACATATTGAAATTTTTTTTTATTTTCAAGATCGGATATTTTACAATATATTTACATAAGAAAAATTCGATAAGGTTGTTTTTTCTATTCAAAAATTGTAAACAATCCATCCGTTTACTTTTAGAGCATATCAATTTTCAGCAATCGTGTAATTTTTTTATTGATAAAGATTTTCACATACTGTCTACAAAGAAAATACAGCAGAAATATTAACAAAGTTCTTGAAAAAACTACAATCTATTATTTCTAATAGATTTCGAGATATCGAGTTCTAATAACGCGACCACTATCGAACACCCACTCAATTCCATTTATTTTTACCAAAAATGCAATTGTTTCTAGCTTGCACTTAAAAAATTCAAGCTATAGGGAAAATTACAACGATTCGTTAATAAATGAACAAATTAAGTATCACGAGACGTAATTAAATGGTGAAGCTGAACGCATGACGTACACCTTTCCCTAGAACTTTAAGTACTAACAGAGGTATTGATTGGGTCGACCGGCCAACTGCGACAAATCTGCTATATCCCCTTCCACGTCTCTTAGCAATGTGCACAGTTTCTCGGTTTATTTCATATGTTTGGCAACGTGTTTACTGTCCTCTCTTTGTTCAGTACATTATAAATGCATTGTACTCTTCTTACATACGGAAATCTCGACCCAAGACTAACCTTTGCCAGCCCTTAGTATTCATTCCTTTACCTTTTTATTCAAAGGTCTAACCCTAATCAACTTTATATAGAGGTAACAGACGCAAAACGACTGGCTCCATAGACCGATTTTATTTCTGACGTTAATTCAATTTGCATAAGAAGGAAAACTGTCGTCATCATCTCGTTCGAAACAATTTTAAACGTCGTTAAGTAGTAATGGAACGCGCCTTACGGAAACAATGAATTGTCGATTTGCAGCAAACTTTCCCGAAAAGAAAAAGAACAGAGAAAAACTACCTGACTTATTCTGGGATCGTCGACTGGCAACTGGGGGATGTTTAATAAAGGAAAACTTCTTTCGACGGCTTTTTCCTGGGCCTGGCCGGCCTCCGAGCTGCGTCTAGCTTTTTGCTTCAGTTTTTCAGTCTGCAGAAAGAAGTTGGGAATTAAAAAGTGCTTATAGAGAAGAAAATTATAGAAAAAAGTCAATGATTAAACGATGATTAAATCTTTAAAAAGAGCTACTACTGTCTAATAAAACTTTTTCTTTCGTTTAATTCGAATTAATACCGGGTGCGTTTCAAAAGTGGCTTACCAATATAACTTTTTTATTTTAATATGTGACATAAATTAGGATTGATTGAAGTATTCAATTGTTTTTGGTCACTTCCTGTTTCACCGGAAATTACTACAACTTTTGATTTTTAAATGTCACCCTCGGTATTTGTATACTTTATTCGATAGAAAATGACACTCGGAATAGAATGACGTATCATATGCCAATTTTTGACATTTTCGCATATGGTTTATTTGCAATTGCCACATGCGGTTCATAACGCCAATTTGACACGAAATACCAAGTGTATGGTACCAAATTATTCGTAAAAAAATTTTTTTCCAAATATATTCTAATGAGCCACTCTCGTTCTATTTGAAAAAAATGAGATATGATTAAAATACGATTTTAGCATTTTCTAATTGGCCAGGACAAGACACTAAAAACATTAGACGATCAAATCTGTTTTTCTAAAACTCCTTGTTTAAGAATTAGTATTTTTAACATAGCCATAGCACTCTAGATTGAAATTTAAAATACGATTTTTTTTTCAAGCAAAAATGTAAAAAGTTGACATATGATATGCCATTCTATTCGGAGTGTCATCTTATATCAAATAAAGTAAAAAAAATACCGAGGGTGCCATTTAAAAATCAAAAGTTGTAGTCATTTCCGGTGAAACAGGGAGTGACCAAAAACAATTAAATACGTCAATTCATCCTAACTTATGTCATATATTAACATACCAAATCTCGTGTTTTATCTAAAAAAAAAATAAAAAAGGGATGAGCCACTTTCGAGACGCATATAATTTTAAATAAAGTTATTTTTTCTACATTTTCTTTTTTGTTTCTCTCCAAATAAAAATGTTAATATAATTATTAAATACCTATTCTGATCTACAGGGTAGTCCGAATTTTATTTGGGAAAGTTTGGCAGTGTATTCTGCAGATAAAAATCAGTAAAAAAGTTTCGAATATACGGGGTGTGGAAGTTACATACTTATTTTGATTTTTTCAAATTAATTCCTGAACTAATGTCGATATTTGGATGAAAATTGGTGTCTGGGAGTTTTTTGACATGATAAATTTGATTTTGATGTGAATACAACTCCTACTTGTAGAGGGCGCCACCTACATATTGTTTAACTGGTTTGAAGAGTCAACTTTTCGTCCGTACCTGTATAAAACTAGTGAATGAAAAAATATACATTTCCGTCATTTTTATCTAAGAAACACAGGAATTGTAAATTTGGGAAGTTTTTATAGAAACGTTTTTACTTTACTGCAGAATATGCTGCCAAAGTTTCCCAAATGCAATTCGGACGACCACCCTGTATACTAATACAAGCTGTGCGCATACCATCAATACCTATTAACTAATTTTCGGTAAGTATTCATTTTGTTATCATCACGTAAGTAATGTGTCATCAATGTCATCAATGTCAGTAATGTTCTGGATAAAGTGGTATAACTTTAAAACTGTTAAAGATAAAAAGATAAGCAAAAAAGAAAATGCATAAAAAAATCTTTACAATACCATAGGTGTGTAATTGCCTATATATACCAGAAAAAATCCGGTGTCGCAGTTTAAATTTTAGTTAAAAAGTATTACACTTCTTGTGCTTTATCCTGTATATTAAATTAACATAAAAATGAGAATTTGTTATAGCACTGTGAAGTAAGAAACTATTTTTTACGTGTATAAAACTATTTGTTACACGTACAAGGTAATAAAATAAAAAAAAAATTATATTTTTATTTTATTACACTTTCAACATTTCAAACTACACTTTTTCAAAAGTGTCCTTCAAATCCTTCAATTTAATAGCTGTTAGTAAGAAGTTTCACTTCAAATATGCGCACATAGTGTACACACAATTTCTTTTTAAATATCCATTAAGCAGATCAAAAATATGACGTCTTATATTAGTGTATAATAAATAATTAATAATGTCGTTTCAGCAAAGTTTCTACATCGACAACTATCCCAAATTCCATAAATTCCAAAACAAACTTAGACTAGAACGCAGTAACAAGAAATTCTCACCTTGCTGCTATAGTAGTAATTCATGGTAAGCGGCATAAAAACCTCTTGGAAATGATTGGCGCCCTGCGAAATTATCAGCATAGTTTTCAGTTGGCTTCTCAGCATGGAGATGTCTTTCATAATGAAGGCGATATAAAACAAGGAGAGGAACTGGTTGACGAACTCGAACAGCACCAACTTCGTCACCCGATGCCTCTCGAACTGTGACTGGGTGCGATGATTCTCTGAGAGAACAACAGTGGGAATAATAAGCTATTGTTCGTTTTTAGATCGCTTAATTTAAGTTGTAAGTGACTGGAAGAAAGTGTTTTTGGGTGCAAAAGCGAACAAAAGATGGAATTCGTTTAATTAATATACAGGGTCCGGCAATAGTGCGTCGGGCATCTGTAGCTCCTAGAATAAAAAACTTGGAAATTTTGTTTAAGTGCAAACCTAAATTATGTACTAGGATGTATTTCAGGAAAATATGTTAACTTCTATAGGGTGGCTCAAAAAAGTGTGAGTGGATCGGGATGATTTTTTTTAAATGGAACACCCTGTATATTATTGCATTTTTGGCTTCCTTTCAGATCACTTTACATCATCCTAAGACATGAGTAAATATATTTAGATAATTTCAGAGATATTAATAAATAAATAAAAATTATATATTTTTCAACCCTTCTTAAAAAAAATATTAAAAATACAAGAACTGTTCTGAAATCAAAACTATATTAGGTATATACTTTAGATGGTCTGTTCTTACTTTGCTAAAAATATGGAAATCGTAAATCATACAGGATGTTCAAAATTCTACGCCAAACTATCTAAAATATAAAATAATTTTTCTTAGTTTTTTTTAAATGGAATACCCTGTATATTATTTTTTCAATAGATGGAGAATTAAACAATGAACATTTTTTGTATTTAGAGCATTTCAAAATTTTTAACGGTCTCGCAGATATTCTCGGTTTTGTATACCATATGGCATTTTCCACAGTAAATTTTCATCAAAGCCACCTAATGATTTTTCTCTCGTATTTTACCATTGACAGCGCCATATGAAATAATACTGCGTGTATCCAGAAAACTATTAAAAATTTTGAAATACTTTAAATACAAAAATTGTTCATTTTTTATTTCTCCATCCAATAAAAAAATAATATAAAAAAATATATTTAAAAAAACGAAGAAAAATTATTTTATACTTTTGAAAGTTTGGCGTAAAATATTGAACATCCTGTATGATTTATGATTACCATATTTATAGGAAAGTAAGAACAGACCATCTAAACTAAATATCTAATATAGTTTTGATATCAGAATAGTTCTTGTATTTTTAATATTTTTTTTAAGAAGGTTCGAAAAATATATATTTTTGATTAATTTTTTAATATCTCTGAAACTATGGAAATAGATTTACTCATATCTTAGGATTATGTAAAGTGATCTGAAAGGAAGCCAAAAATGCAATAATATACAGGGTATTCCATTTAAAAAAAATCATCCCGATCCACTCACACTTTTTTGAGCCACCATATAGAAGTTAATATATTTTCCTGAAATACATCCTTGTACATACTTTAGGTTTGCACTTAAACAAAATTCTCATTTTGTTTATTCTAGGAGCTACAGATGTCCGACGCACTATTGCCGGACCCTGTAGATCAGCTAATAGTTTTTTTTAATAATAAAAAATGAGAAACGTTAGATTATAAATACATAAATATAGATAAAATAAAAAGTAAAATAAATATACATCTAAAAAAAATCTTTATCGATATTTATTCATTGCTTCCAATGAAATAGATGACGATACTTTGTGAAAGGATTTTAGAATATTATATTTTTTATTGGTACTGATCAGTGTTGCCAGAATTGAAGGATTTCTTTAAATATAAAGGCTTTTACAGTCAAATTTTTATCCAAAAAGAACACCATATGAAGGTTTCTGGCAGTTTTGTACAATAAAAATTGTTAAAATATGTAGTAGGAGTATTTCTTGTTTTTTCTGCATCAATTTTTTCTCTTTAAAGGTGTTTAAATTATGGATGCCTCAGTTTAAAGCAATGTTGCTGTCAAAAAGTCCGCAATTCAAAAGATTTTAACAGTTAATAAAAAAATAATATATATTTTTATGTTTCAACACGTCTTATCACACACTATACCATAATTAAACCAAAGTTCTTAATGCTGAAAAGAAATAAATAGGTAAATGGGAAGCATATCTAATAAGTCAGCTAATCATGGCGTCTTGCACGATTAATTTATCTCATTGTAAGCAATACATTTTTTGAAACATGCTTTATAATACTGCTGTCGAGTATTTATCACAGCATTTTCGATCGTGTTATTTTTTAATAAAAAGTTTATTTAAATACCATCGGTGTCCAAAAATTACGACAAACAAGTTTTTAAAAATTTTCTCCTAATTATAAAGTAGGTAAAATACACGAAATTTGGTGATTTTTCACAAGATCTGAATTTTTTTGTAAATTTAAAGAAATATGTGTAAAACTTGGAAAATAAGTTCGTCATAATAATGCTTTTATTTATTAACTATTCTAATAAACAATATGCATTCCTTCGGAAACTCTCTATTTATTTATCTAGTAATGCCAAAACACTCTATTTTAAAGTCGATTAGAGAAAATAGTATGATTCATTGGCAAGTAATGTAAATATTTACTATCCGGTAAAATTGTGATGTAAGAGGAGGCTTAGCTTGCCGAAAGCGAGTCAGTAGTTGATATGCCGGCCGGCTGTTGTGTTGTGTTTTGTCATAGAGCTGATATTTGGGGGTTGAAAGTCTTTTGACTATAAACGTTGCAAGTACTGTAAGGCAACGGGTCGTTTGACCGGAAGAAAACCTCTTGTGGTGTGACGTCTTGCCTTCGAGGTTGGTCTTGAGAGTTTGAGGTCTCCCTTGTCTTCTTGATTGACACGATGCGGCGTTGGGGTAGTGAGCTACCCCAATTAGCCTATTCGATTGGGATGCGAATCTGTTTAGCGGCAGATTTGAGTCCGGGGGAAGCCCCTATACTATTTCAGGTGACACTAGCTAGTTGTTAAAGATTATTAACCAATAAATCCGAATAATATTTGAATTAGATGAAAGATATGAAATGTCATATATTGAATAGAATGTCAGTGATGTCAGTTATTAGGGGGCGGAGTACCCCCGGGTGAGTCTTAGTATTTAATTATCAATTTTATCCAGATCAGTAAATGTTTGTTTTGTTATTTTCATGTACAATGAGAGAGTGCTTGCCCATGACCAACTAAATGGATATTTGAGGTGAATTTGCATTGTGAGACCCGGTTGAGTAAGCCCCAGAAATAAGCGATTTTACATATGAAGGGTTTTTAATGCTCCGTTGAAGAAATTCGCTCGAACATTTCTGGCAACACTGACGCTAGAAGAAATTATTGAAAGACAATTTTTAGTAAATTATGTCAATTCATTGACGTCGTTTTATGGTTTTTCTTAATTTTCTTGAGAATGTACGTTAGGGTTAGGGTCAACAAAGTTTTACTTTAGTGTCAAAAAGTTTTAACTTTGTTGATACTAAAAGAAATTTTAACCCTACTATTTGTGAAATCGACACAATTTCCAATGTAAAAAATACAATTTTCAATACAAATATAATGTTCAACATGCAAAAAATATTACTTACATATATATATATATATATATATATATATATATATATATATATATATATATATATATATATATACCGGTGTTCAAAACAAGGTAGAAAATGAACCTAATTTTAAGCAGAGTTTAATTATTTATTGAATATCAGAAAAGTATATTAAACGATTTCAAAATATTGTATAACCAGAAAGTAACAAAGTTAGATGAAACGATTTGATAAGCCCATATAAAGGTATATTTTGCATTTTAAATTTATAAAAATCTGTTGAAATTTTTACTACTAGGTAATTCGAAAAAAAAACGAAAAATTAAAGAAACCTTCAGATTAAATCCATTTATTTCTCATCTTGTTTTGATTCACCAAAATTATTATAAAAAAACTAATTTGAATATTTTCAAAAAATTAATTATATTATTTAATTTTTGGTTTGTTCTGACGCTAGTGATAGCAGCCGATCAATATTCGTATTTCTTAAATTGATTACCAATCGAACGAGCAAAATCAGAATAGCCAACTACTTAAATCATTTTTGATCGCTCCGTATATGCATTAAGAGTTTAAGTATTTTCTCTCATTCTAAAAAATAAATTTATTTCCTTTATGAATATTACTCATATGGAATAGAGAAATAAAATTATTATTAACACACAGAAATACAAATTTATTCATAACATATCAGAATATGATTCGCAGTTAATAACTGCATGATCTTTATATTATGTAAAAAAAATAAATAAATCGAAAAAATCGTCACTAAATAAATAAAATGAAATTTACCCCATTCCGTAAGATAAGTTGCAAAATCCCTAAAGTAAGCACTAACAATAGTGACCAGCAAGCTGTACACCACACTAGGGATCATAATAAGCCATCCATCGGGATCCACATACTCTTTCATATACTCCTCCACCCAAAAAGAGATCAGCATAAGGTAGAAGGCTAAAACCATGCATACAGCCACAATGGGAAGGGACACAAGGTACATCTAAAATAAACATACAATATTGTAGCATAATATTTACAATGACTATTAAATTGGAAATTGAAAATTAGGGAATAAGTTATATACAAAAAAAAATCAAACAAAATTATTTAAATCAAAAGTTATAAACTAGAAGTATTTTAAGAACGGGTTTTATGTAATTTTACATAAATGTATCGATTTTAAGTAAATTACTTTGAGGGTAGTCATAAACCTGGGACTCTGCGGACACACTTTTCCTGTGACAGCATCCACACCCATGACTCCACGAAAACCAGGTCTCGGTTCGTCCAGACTCGTCATACCAATAGTACCCCAATTGTAGGCTAGCGAATTGCTTTTCCTCTTCCATAGCTGCAATAACAAATAATCTCTCAGATAAATAATATTTATAGACAAACCTTAATGTGTAAAAACTAACGAAGCTAATATATACAAACCAAATGTTAAAAGAAAAATGCTAGGTTGTAAGTGAACGTTTATTGAACTCTTCTAGTATTGCTTATTGCTTTATTTGACAATCTCAGTTTTTAACATAAAATATTTTATTATTTATTAGGTTAATCAAAATCAAATTATCTGAAACTTAATGGTTATTTTCTAGGACGATTTTCTTGATGAGTCAAAATGTTTTTAATCAATGATATTTAAGACATGTTGTTTGTAAGAAAATTTAAAAATAAAATTGTGTTTGAAAGTAGACAACTAGAATCCTAAATAAATTTCTTTGTCTCGATACGTAATGTTTATATTTTATTTTTTAATTTCACAAAAAAGTTACGTAAAAAAATTGGAGGAAGTGAAACACTTTCTAAATATACTAAGATATCCAAATTTAGTGTCTTCGAAGAGAGTTAGTTTTTAGCGATAGTCTATTTCAACCTCAAAAAATATAAAGTTAGTGTTTTCACAGTAGTAATACTCCAAATTGAAAAGAAAAAAAAAATCGTCATTTTTTAACTGCAATATCTTCCTGATGGTTGACTTTTGATCCAATGATCATATAGATTAAATTTTTGAGGTGGCTGTTGTCCTCTTCCACTGAGGCATTTTCAGATCTATTTTAGTCCTCTTCTGATCTTAAGGTTACATTCTCCAGTCCTGTACTTTTCAAAAAGTTTAGCAACTTCGAGATAAGTCTTAGCAACTTCCATATAACTCTTTCTGAATGGCCTATCATTCTAGTACAAAGAATCGCACATTTACCAGGCCCTACCGACATAAAATCTACACGTGGCTTCGTCCATGGCAATATCATCAGCATTATATGCCTATTAAGCTTACAATGCAAGTAAACCCACTACAGCGTTGACTGTCTTTCTGCCTTTGCTTATCAGGTCTGCCATAAATTTTGGAGAATGTTCCACTATGAACTTGTTTGCCTGTCTTTGTCCTGATAAATTTCTTCAACATTCTAGAAATTTGTGGGCCATTCACCATTTTGTGGTCATTCTTGTGACTGTTTGACCTTTGTTGAGCCTTGTTTGGCCATTTCATCTTCCTTCTCGTTACGCTTGTGACCATCGTGCCCTGGTACCTTGGCTGAAGTAACATTGCTACGCCCACCGAAAGTATTTGGAGCACACACACAATCTAGACAGTCTAGACTAGTCTAGATTGGCACTAGTGTGTAAAAATTACTGAGTAAAATAATATACATTTACAACATTTTTTCATAAAAAAGGTCTCTTGGTAAATATCGCTACGAGTAATGATTCTCGAGATATTTGGAATTGAAATTATCAATACCTGTCATCATTGACATAAACTAAACATGTTGACTAAATTGTTATTAGAATCAAAACATAAATTTGAAATCTTTTTGTGCCAAAAGTTCAACAGAAACTGTTTAATCATAATTTTTTAGCAGAAAAATTTATGATTAATTAAAAAAAAATAAAAATGTATTATTTCGGTCAAATAACTATACTCAACGTGCTTATTTTTTGTCAATAATGACATGTATTGACTATTTCCATTCTAAATATCTTGAGAACGATTGCTCGTAGCGATTTTTACCAAGATATGTTTTTTACGTAGAAAGTCACGGAAATGTATATTTTTTAGTCAATAGTTTTATACAGGTACGGACGAAAAGTTATTACTCTTTAAAACAGTCAAAGCGCATGTAGGTGGCGCCCCCTACAAATAGGAGTCATTTTGACATCAAAATTTCTGGTGTCACAAAACTTCCAGGTGCCAACTTTTGTCCAAATATTGACGTTACTTCAGAAATTATTTAGAAAAAATCGAAATAAAAATGAAATTTCTACACACTGTATCTCCGAAACTAAGTATTTTAGGACATACATTTATACGAACTTTTTTACTTATTTTTATCTGCAGAATATGTTGCCGAAGTTTCCGGAATACAGTTCGGACCACCCTGCATGCCCCGGCCCGTCCACAATTCAATCCCAGCATCTTTTATCTTCGTCTCTTCAACGCTAACCGCGCCGATCTCGCCTAACTTAACGAAACTTATCTCTTTCTCACAGGATTGATTGTTAAACGGACCGAGAATCCACGAGCTTGCGACGTTACTAATTAACATCTTGATAGAAACTGCAGACCTGCCGCGTCTTTTGCGTGTTCACTAATCGAAAAAAACGCTTCAAACGGTAAAATCGCAAAAAACGCTTGACACGCAAAAAACGCAAACGCTTTCTGTGTGGCCGTGGGCTTAGATAGGCCTACGTAGAAATATATTCCTTGCCGGCCCTACTATTCGAGCTCCTACACCCTCCAATGTTCTTAAGTCGTTGGTATACCAGATTGCATCAGCTTGAATGGGTACACCTTCTATCGCAATCTTCCCATCCTAGTATGGTTATGTTAAATTTGTTGCTAAGGCTATACCTGCTGATGCATCCAATGATTATATAACAAACTACCCTTTATTTTTAACAAGAAATCACCCCTTAAAGTATTTTAAATTTGTTTTGAAACATCCTGCATACGATTAGTGGACATTTTTTTCAAATATCGTATTTCTGGATTCAAATTTTTCTATACATAATTTCGTGTCTTATCTCCATTATTATTTCTTGCAAATATAGGTATTATGGTTTTTATTTTCATAAAGAAAATTCGTTATTATGTAACGTCAAATTTTTGGGGTTTTGCGTCTCTTTAGTTCCCTAGACACGTCCAAGATTATCAATTTAATTTCTAGGTCAGGTTGAATTTTCCAACGACATTCCTCCCCGCTAACCGAATAACAATTTCTTTTATAACCGTTAGCGCTGATTGGAGTGTCCAAATGTTTCTAAAAGAACTTCAAAAGGATTACCGCTTTTTTTATTGGGGTTAAAAAAGACAGTTATTGTCGAGTGCTGGAATGACGCAAATTTGTTGTTCTTTTTGTTTCATTTCATTTCGAGGTTTTTTCTCGCTCGCCAAAGATAAGCCCGAAGAAAATTATTCGGAATATAAACGTGTTATTTTGGAGTGTAGCCAGTTATAGCAAGCGGCGTTGGTGAATTAAATCATCCCTAAGAGGGTAAACGGAAAACTGTAAAATGTAAAAATAGCGAAAGGGATTTTGCATTTAATATCTAGGTTTAGATTCCTTTGTTTTAGTGTATATAGAAAAGTATTAATCAAATGTTTTTAAGCTACATCTAGTGTAGAGAATTTGATTTAGTTTTTATTTTTGCTCATTACATAAAATATTTTTTTACTTGGGTATCTATTTTTATTTCAGACTAATGAATAATTTTATAATATTTAAAATATTTATACAGGTTTCTGCAACAGTGCGTTAAGCACACTCAGGGGTGTTCCTTAATAACATGCTAGTATTTAAGGGTGATTCCTGGACCTATTCTAAGAAAAAATAAGTTCATATGAATGTGTGTTCTAAACGTCTTAACTTTTGAGATATAGAGTGGTAAATATAAAAAAAACCTTTTTCTCATAGAAGACGAGTATGAAATTACATAAACATAATTATAATAACCTCAGAGTTCTTATAAAAAAAATAAAAAAAATTATCATCCTGTATCTCAAAAGTTAACGAGGTTTATTTATTTTTTTTTTTTTCACAGCTTAAAGCCGGTTTTAGCGACTAAGTCGGGATAATTCTTATCAACGACCTAATCGCGGTTCAACACAGTGCGAACGATAGAACAGGTAGAAAGAATTGTGGACTTCTGCATGGTAGAGATGATTCTTTCCGGGTTGTGAAGTTGGAGTTTTTTAAGGCTTTGAACAAGGTTTACGTCTACTAGGCCGTTACAGGTAAGTATTATTGGTAATATAAAAGTCTTGCTCAAATCGTATATCGCTTTTAGTTCTTGTGCCAGTGCTTCATATTTTGTGATTTTCTCTTTTCTTGCATTTTTAATATTTTCGTCTAGTGGTATTCTGATATCCAGCAGGTAAGCATGTTTCTGTTTTTTATAGAAGACTACTATATCAGGTCTATTATGCTGCACAGTACGATCTGTGATGATGTCAGTATCCCAGTATACTTTTACGTTTTCGTTTTCTACTATTTTTTCAGGTAAGTATCGGTAGTACGGTGTAATTTCATTTAAAAGATTTTCTTTTTTGCAGATTTCTTGGTGTAGAATACCAGCCACCCGGTTGTGCCTGTCCAGATAATGCCGCGGTGCAAGATAGGTACATCCAGAGCAGATGTGTTGAATTGTTTCCGGAAAGGCATTGCATAGTCGGCATCTGTCATTAGGTAAGTCCTTTTTGGCTATTATTTTTAGGAAATTTTTAGTTGGTATTTGCTGGTCTTGTATAGCTATAATAAATCCTTCGGTCTCAGCTCTGAGCTCTCCATCTCTGAGAAAACGTAATGACAGATTTCGGTCAACGTCTGGGTTATATAAGTTGGATGGATATCTTTCGTGCAAGGCTTTCCCTTTCCATTCTTCGATTAGTTCCTCAGCACCCCTAGTACCTGCAGGTAATCTTTGACCTGCTAAGTTTAAAGGTGTGAAATTCCTGTCGGCGGTCTTAATAGCTGAAAGGAGAGGGTCATTTGATTGGTCAAAGCAATGCTGCAGACTTCTGATATGCTTTTCATGCATAGCAATGAGACTAATAATTCCTCTTCCACCTTTGTCCCTTGGCATGTAGAGTCTAATGGTTGAAGCATGAGGGTGGTGCATTCGGTGCCTTGTCATTGATGTTCTGACTTTCCTATCGAGAGACTCCAGGTCGGTTTGTGACCATTTTAGAACTCCGAATGTATTAAGAATTACAGGTGCTGCCCACACATTGATCGCAGCTATTTTATTCTTCGCATGAAGCTCTGTTCCCAAGACTTTACAAACCCTCTTCATAAATGCATCCTCCGCAGTCTTCTTTATTACTCCATCATCAATTTTTAGAGCTTGATGGATACCAAGATATTTGTAGGTTTCACCCAGATGTAACGGTGAGAATGTTATTTCGTTAGTTAAAATAATCTCGTTAGATTCTTGGATTTTCCCTTTTTTACAGTGCAAGAATGCACATTTTTCCATACCAAATTCCATACGAACAGCTTGGCTAAAGGATGCTACAAGTTCCATTTGCCCTTTAAGTTGTTCTGGGTTGCTCGCGTAACATTTTAAATCATCCATGTAAAGCAAATGGGAAATCTTTACTTGGGGATTGTTCTTCACAGCATAGCCATATTTGCTAGACTTAAGCATAAAACTTAGTGGGTTTATGGCCATGCAAAACATTAGTGGGCTCAAGCTATCCCCCTGGAATATCCCTCTTCGGACTTTTAATGGTTTGGTTTGATAGCTGTCCCTTGAGGAAGTAACGAGAAGAGATGTTTGCCATTGCTGCATTAAATATTGAAGAGTTCTGACTATTGAGGTATCTATCTTGTAGATCTCCAGAATTTTAAGTAGCCATGAATGTGGTACAGAGTCGAACGCTTTCTTGTAATCGATCCAAGCGATAGATATGTTTCTTTGGTTTTTATATGCTTGCTTTCCGATTACATTATCAATTATAAGCCACTCTGTACTTCCTCTAGACCCTTTTCGGCTGCCGTTTTGTTCTCTTGCCAGTATATGGTGATTTGTTAGGTGTTTTGATATTGATTTTTCGAATACAGACGTGAAAATTTTATATATGACTGGTAGGCAAGTTATTGGCCTGAAGTTTTTAGGATCATCAATAAATTTATTTTTAGGTATCATATGCGTGATGCCCATGGTGAAAAAAGCAGGTATTGTTTCAGCGGGATTTTTTATTGCTTGGGTCAATTGTATTGCCAAGACTGCATGGACATGTGTGAGGTGCTTCCACCAGTATGCCTGGATTTTATCAATTCCGGGTGCTTTCCAGTTTCCTAGTGAGCTAACGGCCTGTTTAATATCGTTCTCTGTTATCTGGATTTCCCTCATTTTCGGTAAATCTTGCGTGCGGTGTATTTCTTCTTTAATCCAGTAAGCATCTTGATGTTCTTGCTCATTTCCCCAGATGTTATTCCAGAAGTTATACATTTCATCAGCTTTAACAAGCGCCCTATCAGGTTCTTCTTTTTGGGTGCTCAGTGCTCTAAGAAACAACTTCTGGTTGGTAATAAATTGTTTATTTTGTTTGCGCCGTTTTTCACTCTCATTGTATCGTCGCAAACGACACCCTAATGCAGCTATTTTTTGTTTCAGGTTGTCCATAAATTCCCTTAGGATACGAACGGAACCAGCTTCCAAGTTATTTTGTCGGATGATATCATTTACTATTCGTTTGGTTCTGTTCGACGGGTTATCATTTGTTAGGTATGTATGTAGTACTCCAATAGTTACCCTAATATCTTTTATTTTATTTTCCAGTCTCCTCTTCCAAGGTGGTATTTGAGGTTTATGATTTGATGATTGCGCCATCTCTCCTATCCTCAATCCGGTAACATGACAGACAGCAGCAGCGGCGCAGTAGATTAAATCACATGTGTCCTGAAGAGATAAACTTTGCGGTAAGTATTGGCTTAATGCTCTATTCATGATGGCGACAGTTGACTTTGTTTGATTATTATATTTAATTTTAGGAAGCCTTGGACGACTTAAGAAGTCAACACCACTATATTTCATACGGTACTCTTCAAATATCCGTCCAATTTCTTCGGTTACTATATTTTCTTCAGGGTGTGGTATGACCGAGTGCCGTGATTGTCTGCGAATTGAAGACGCGTGTTCACGGGATTGAGGTGTGTTGTGGGTGGTCTCTGAAATTTCATTTAGGTTGTCATTCTGTTCCTGTTCCGGGTCTTGTGTTTCTGCTAGTACTGCTTGCTTTAGATGATCCAGTTCTGCGTTTGATATGACTTTTCTACGTAATACTGAGCGTAATTGGTCTGCAAGTTGTTGCGATTCTCTAGGGAAATCGGGTCTAAGACTGATCCACTGTTCATAAAGCCGTATTCTATATCCTGTCTTGTTCTGTTCGCCATTAGTTGCCCTGTAGTATGCGCGTATCAAATCTAGGTTATCATTCCTGGTCCAGCGCACACGTCTCGTGCGGGGCTGCGGGTTAGGAACGGGGTCATTTTGAGTACGACCCAAGTTTTCTAACCCTCCATTATCGGTGCTTTGTCCGTTTCCGTCGCGTGACCTTGTGGTACGATTTCGCGTTGGGGCGCCACTTGCTTCGCCTACCTCCGCTAAGGTCGGTTCAGTCTGGCGAACAGGCGCCGATCCTCCACCTGTCGCATCCGAGGCTTGTTTTCTAGTTTGTAGAACCGATTATTTTATCTTCCCTTGAAGGGTGGTTAGCCCGCCAAAGGAGTAGTTGTGACCGTCTAGGGTCAAGTTTTGTGTTATGTGTCTGTATGGGGATAGGTGTATGGGAAGATAGTCTGTATTAGTGGAGCCCGCTCCCGTCGGGGTATGGCACAGGCTGTACGGCTTGCCCTGGGTACCGTAGCGGACACAGTAAAGAACCCTATCCCGGTTACTTTCCTCTGTCGGGCCTGACATTATTATTATTAGTTATGTTATTATTGTATGGACATATATACATATGAAATTTTTTCCTTAGAATGTCACTTAGAGAATTACTCTCTTAAATAATATTAGTACACAATTAAGGAACACCCTGCATAATAAAGAATTTAAGGATTATTTGAGAACTGTGTATTTACTAGAATGTATTTTAGGAAAAAAAATGGTACTAGTAAATTTTGTTATGCAGCCTGTGAAAAGAGAACCGATAAATGTTGTTTACTTATTTGTGTCGTACTTTTAGATCAATTATTATTTTTAATATTTTCTTATTCTAGTCTACATGTTATTATGTTTATATGTTTAGTATCTACTAATACTAAAAAGTTATAGATATTTTACTTCACTAGAAGCTACTAAAGATTGGCCTAGACATTCATACATATTTATGATATTATTTACAGGTGTATATAATTTGAAATTTGTATTTGAAAATTATATATAATTTGAACTACATAGGGCTTTTAATTCAACTGATATTAACATAGACTTAAAAGTATAATTATTTTATAATAATATTTTGACACCGACTTGAAAATAAGTGTATTTATATAAATAATTCTGCATATAAAATTAACTCAAATTTTCTCTCTGTATACCGGCTGCGTCTCAAAAGTTGCTCACCCCTATAACTTTTTTATTTTTTAAGTTAAAAAAACGATATTTGGTATGTTAGTATATGACATAAATTAGGATGGATTGACGTATTCAATTGTTTTCGGTCACTTCCTGTTTCACCGGAAATTACTACAACTTTTGATTTTTATATAGCATCCTCTCTATTTTTTTACTTTATTATAGAAAATGACACTCTGAATAGAATGACATATCATACGTCAACTTTTGACATTTTTGTATATGGTTTACTTTAAATTGTAACATGCGGTTCCTAACGACAATTTGACTCGAAATACCAAGTGTGTGGTATCAAATTATTTGTAAAAAATTCTTTTTCCAAATATGCTAATGAGCCACCCTCGTTCCATTTGAACAAATTGAGATATGATTAAAATACGATTTGAGAATTTTCTAACTGGCCAGGACAAGACATTAAAAACATTAGACGATCAAATCTATTTTTAAGACTCCTTGATTAAGAATTAGTGTTTTTAACATAGCCATTACACTCTAGATTGAATTTTAAAATACGATTTGCGGAAAGTGAGTCATTCTATTCAGAATGTCATTCTCTATCGATTAAAGTAAAAAAATACCAAGGGTGTCGTTTAAAAATCAAAAGTTTGTCATTTCCGGTGAAACAGAAAGTGACCGAAAACAATTGAATACGTCAATCAATCCTAATTTATGTCATATACTAACATACCAAATCTCATTTTCTTTATAAACTATATATTCTATACTTACTTACTACTCTCTCTATAATACTCACTTCTAAAAATAATGTCACCCAAACGACATTAAAGGCACAGAAAAATGGCACGGTTTCTGTGAAGACGTATCCTAACAGTCCTAAAATAACTGGCACAACCAGCGATAAAGTGTAGTATTCCAAAAAAGCGAAGTAAAGAGCAATAGTTTCTCCAAAATAATTCCTAATGTCCTCTGAAACAAAAATAAAACAGATTAATCTCAGTCAGAACTTCTCGTCAAAATTAGGGCATAATTTCACGGTTCTATGTTATAATAAATCCATTTTATTATTTTCTTAACTACTAAATCAATTTTAATTATATTTTCTTTTGGCCTCATATTCGTAAACTATCCAAATATGATTAAGGATATAATAATAATATACAGGGTGGTCCGAACTGTATTCCGGAAACTTCGGCAGCATATTCTACAGGTTAAATTAAGTAAAAAAGTTTGTATAAATGTATGTCCTAAAATGCTGAGTTTCGGAGATACAGGGTGTAAAGGTTTAATTTTTATTTCGATTTTTTCCAAATAATTTATGAAGTAACGTCAATATTTGGATGACCTGTATGAAAATTGGTGTCTGAAAGTTTTTTGACATGAGAAATTTGATTTTCATGTCAATATGACTCGTACTTGTAGAGGGCGCCACCTACATATGTTTTAACTGGTATGAAGAGTAATAACTTTTCGTCCATACTTGTATAAAACAACTGAGTAAAAAAAATATACATTTACAACTTTTTCAACATACAAAAGATCCCTTGGTAAAAATCGCTACGAGTAATGGTTCTCGAGATATTTGGAGTTGAAATTATTAATACCTGTCATCATTGTCATAAATTAAACATGTTGACTCAATAGTAATTTTAGACCGAAATCATAAATTTGAAATCTTTTGTGCCAAAAGTTAAACAGAAACTGTTTAATCATCATTTTTTCCCAGAAAAATTTATGATTAATTAAAAAAATAAAAATTTATTATTTCAGTAAAATAACCATCCTCAACGTATATGCTTATTTTTTGTCAATAATGACATGTATTGACTATTTCCATTCTAAAGATCTTGAGAACAGTTGCTCGTAGCGATTTTTACAAAGAGACATTTTTTACCTAAAAAGTCATGGAAATGTATATTTTTTTAGTCAGTAGTTTTATACAGGTACGGACGAGAAAAGTTATTATTCTTCAAAACAGTTAAAACGCATGTAGGTGGCGCCCCCTACAAATAGGAGTCATTTTGACATCAAAATCAAATTTCTCGTGGCACAAAACTCCCAGATACCAATTTTCATCCAAATATTGACGTTACTTCAGAAATTATTTGGAAAAAATCGAAATAAAAATGAAACTTCTACACCCTGTATTTCCGAAACTAAGTCTTTTAGGACATACATTTATACGAACTTTTTTACTTATTTTTATCTGCAGAATATGCTGCCAAAGTTTCCGGAATACAGTTGGGACCACCCTGTAGAATGAGTGACAAAGAATAGAATGAATACGACAAAAGACCCAGGTAATTAATATATGTCATCCACAGAGTCCAGTCCCTCAAATAGCAATAGGCAGGACACCGGGCAAGAAGAACGGACGACAGATGAACCACAAAAATTACAGCATGGTACCCACGAGGAATTAAGAGACCTAGAAGAAGACCGAACCTGAGACGGGACCATGATAGGAGGAAATTAGCAGGTATAACTTGGGCCCGCGTAGCCAACAATATACAACAATGAGCTCAACTACAAAAAGAGTATGTGAGGAAGGCTACACCATAATTGGAAATGGTTGAATAAATTGGAAATGATGATAATATAGACCATATAGACATCTTTATAGCAATGGCCCGATAGATAACCAAAGTTAAGCGATGTTAAAAACTTTGTCGTGCTATTGTTCATTGGCAAGAATTTAAAATATATTGGGACACACTGCTCATTCAGGCCAATTTCCAGCTGGATGAGATCGGATATCTCGTAGAGTCGATTTAAACACTCGCCAAGTCTGTAGCCCATTGACAATGATATGGACGAGTACCTACCGCGGTTCGGATTCCGAATAAACAAAGTAGGCCACGTCCAGATTAGCCTTGGCGGCAAAAAGATGATTTTAACTCCACTTTGAACTTTGAGACATCTTTAGAAGTTATAACAAAAGACACAAAAATACTAGGTACTGTCTCAGCAAGACTTCCTTTGAGTCCATCAACATATACAATATTTGTACTATAAAGATATGTGAATTGTTTTAAATCTCGGATAGCAACAAAACCAAACATCGCGCTCTAAATACAAACAAAAACAAACGGGCAGTCACGATTAAATAAAATTAGAGCCGCAACATTTTTATTATTATTAGGGGGAACGCGAGGCATTTAATCTGCTTAATTCATATCTGCTCGTATGCTAAAATTTCAGACGTGGCGACCGGGTCGGTTGGTCGGTCTGGCCGGCAAGCGAACAGGCCAAGGCTCAGAACAATAAAAAAATAAAAAAGTGCCATTCATACATATATTATACATTAACCCTTAAACCCCCATGCTTTTAATATCAACGTAAATACTCAACATAGGTCCCCTAAGAACCCCAAAGCAAAAACAAGTTTTCTCTCTGAGATGAACCGCCTATTTAAAAATAGACATATTTATTTAAATTCAAAACATTCATTTTTAAGACACTCTGTATACATAAACAAGATTATTGATTTTTAAAATATTATTCACAAACTAGGGAGAGGGAAATCAGGCGACGAACAGAGGTGATGTTTGTTAGATAATAGCTTCTAGACTACCATTCAAGACGCATTAATATTATTTTGGTTCGTAAGTTTTGTGAAAAGAATGTTATTAAAGGTAAAGCAAATGTTTTCTCATTATTTAACTAATGTTAACTAAATCATATTATTTTGTTTTCTTGTTGTAATTCTTTTCTAAAGTTATTCCTCATTCATTTGATCTGACAAAGACAATATATAACATGTGTATACATTAAATGGAATCTATTTATGCTGTAAATAATTTCAGTTTAAAAGTAATCTAAATAAAATCGTTTACTGTTCCTTCGTGCCGATGTTTGTGGTTTGTGAGAATAAGAGCCTTGTTGAGTGTACTTACAATTTTCGACCTTGCATGGGCGAATATCTTAGCTCGCAAAAGGGCAAACAAAAACAATAAATAAAATAATTCATAGAATAACTTACAATTTATTAAATTATAAGATATTGGCGCCAAACCTCCAATTTAGGGTCGATTCCGCAACAAGGGACTTCGTACCTACGGGTGGGGACCCGTTAAACTAACAAAAACCTCTTCAGTTTTGAACGATATAAATGTGGCATGTTTTGAATGTATTAAACTATAAACCTAGGTATGAGGACAGTTTCTATAGTATTATTTCTCTTTTATGAAAGTTCAGGACAGCATAGTTAGATTCTCTGGAATAGTGATCATGGTTTTCTCTGCCGTGCTCTTTTACATGTGAATTCCAGGCAGAGTACGGCACTCCTTTCATTTCATTTAATAAAATAAGTAGGGCTATTTACAAATTTAGCGTTTTATTTACATAACCTATTCTCCTCAAATTTCCCAAAATATTGCTTTGTCGAGGCGCATCCGAGGTAATCATAATAAAAAAATATTTAACACAACGTAGGTTCCTTTCTTTCATTTAAATTTCTTGTTATACAGTTGGCCAAAATATTACCTCTTCAACTTTGTTGACGAATTTGGGTTGTAACACTACATCTCTATACAGGGTGAGTCTTAAATCAGTGCAAATATTTTCAGGGGTGGTATATTTCGACCCGAGAAACACGTCTATGAGGCTTTTTTCGCAAATAGAAGATGTTGAAAATCGTGCATTTTGTTTTAAATTTCCCTGTATATTTTTCAAAAACTTTTTAGAACTGCCTGTTCACCGCAAATTTTCCCACGGTATAATTTCTTAATCTCTGATATTACCGTAGTTACGGCTTTACTCCATGGTTACGGCAATAAAAGGGATGCAAATACAGAAAAAATCCGGTGGCTGTCAAAATTTTTTCAAAAAAAATATTTTTTTTTTATTTTTCAAACTTAAATAACTCGGTTATTTTGGACTTATCTGAAAAATGATTAAGAGAAAATATGTTTCTTTTATCGAGATCTACCAGCCTTGACTCACCCTGTATAAATATTTCTTATATTTTTTAAGGTTCCAGTGAAATGCATAGTTCCAATCATTTTTAAAGCATAATTATTAAATAATAATAAACAAACAGACTATCTGCTAGTAATAAAAAAAACCTCTAAATTGAAACTAAGGACTTAGAAGAAAGTCAAAATCTGCAAGGCAGTAAAGTAAATAAACAGGGTGGTCCGAACTGTCTTCCGGAAACTTTGGCAGAATATTTTGCAGATAAAAAAGAAGTAAAAAAGTTCGTATAAATATAATAAAAAATAAAAATATAATGCATAGTTTCGGAGATACAGGGTGTAGATATTTCAATTTTATTTCGATTTTTTCCAAATAATTTCTGAAGTAACGTCAATATTTGGATCAAAATCGATGTCTGGAAGTTATTTGACATGAGAAATTTGATTTTAATGTCAATATGACTCCTACTAGTAGAGGGCGCCACCTACATATTTTTTAACTGGTTTGAAGAGTAATATCTTTTTGTCCGTACCTGTATAAAACTACTGAGTAAAAAATATACAATTGCAACGTTTTTTACGTAAAAAAAGGTCTCTTGGTAAGAATTGCTGCGAGTAATAGTTCTCGAGATATTTGGAATAGAAATTATCAATACCTGTCATCATTGACATAAATAAGACATGTTGACTAAATAGTTATTAGACCAAATTTTTTTTATGTTTTATGTGCTAAAAGTTCAACAGAAACTGTTTTATCATCATTTTTTCGAAGCAAATTTTATGATTAAAAAAATAAAAAGTTACCAAATTTATAATTTCAGTCAAATAACTATCTACTCAATCTGTTTATTTTTGGTCAATAATGACATGTATTGACTATTTCCATTCCAAATATCTTGAGTAAGGTTGCTTGGTGCGGTTTTTACCAAGAGACATTTTTTACCCCATTTTTTACAACCCCGTAACAATCCAGATTGTTCTTAATTTAATCTAAGAACATCTTTGATTTTTCTCGGTAGTAAGTCCTGGGAAATTTCTTTGAGTTTCTAGGTC